AAATTATATTTTTTATTTTGACACTATTTAGTCCCTTTCCCTAAGTAAAAAGTTTTTTTTTACATTAAAAATTAAGATTTAAATTCCTCCCCTTTACAGAAAAAAGTGTCTGCTCGTGGTGTAAAAAATTTAAAATTGAGAATATATTTAATTTCTTAAATTAACATTATTTGATTGTCATGCTATATATCTGTGTACACCTTTTTCGGCATTTCTGAGGAAATTTTTATAAATTGATTTTTTTATGGTGTAATAAATAAATTTAATTAATTAAATTAATAAAATAAAGAGATAGTTATAATTAACAATTTGAATTTTCCTGCCAGAAGATCATGCGCATTCATATTCGCGCACTTTTACCGTGTGTGGTCGGTATAATAGAGTTCTTGTCACTTTTAAGAAAAATGTTGTTTTTTAATTAAATTGCAATTATTATGAACTGTACTCCTTAAATAATAAAATAATTTAATAAAATGTGTAATTTCTATGAAATATAAATTATTTTTTCACACAGTTTACACTAATTTCTTGAAAATATCGTGAAAACTGATGAGTTAAAATTTACAGATAATTTTTATCAATTAAAAGCTTTTTTTTGATAATTTCTCAAATTTGACTTAGATTCGACCCAGCTGGGTTGAAGTTAGGTAAATCAAATCCGCCAGGGCTCATTTATTAAGCTTTTCTTTTTTTTCTATTAATTGTTGATTAAGAGCCTTAGCATATATCAAATTTTTTCTAATTTTACTGGTACTTTTGGCATAATTTTTTTTTACTTTTTCCAAAATCCTCCTTTGCTTTTATTTGCCAATCGGTAATATTTCATTTTCCATTTACCAATAACGGATTTTTTGACACTAATGATTTTAACTAATTTTATATTTTCCCTGAGTAATTTTTCCTCTCTAGCACGTGTGAATCGTATAGTTTTTTCAAGACGTTCTATAACTTTTGTGTTGCATATTTTCTCCATTTCGTCATAATTTTTATTATTTAAATATGGCGAATCATCGGGTGCTATTTTATTATCAATTGAAGCAAGAAAAATTACATAATTGGTTGATGTTAGTATCATTAACGGCATTAGGGTCCTTACGTATCGGGTCAAAAACCATCTGACCATCAGGGTTACGAGAAACTGTTGAACTGAAAGAGGACTGCAACTATTAAGATATAACACTTTGGTCCTTAGCCGAGCCCATCCTGGTCTCCTAGACCAATTCATAACCTGGTTTAGGAATTCTTTTACTCAGTAAAAGTTCTCCTGCCTCATCCTAGCTGACATTTTGCTCAAGCCTACGCTTCATAATCAAAAACTCATATTTATAATATAGGCATTTCCTTGAGGAAGACATCTGACTGTCAACACAATGTGCCGTACGGTTTGCGTTAGGACAATCTTCCCTGACATAATTCTCCGCACAAAATTTAAACCTAAAGTGTGTCGAACGACACTGTTTTAAAATGCCTGAATCTTTGGCATATGTAACACCGTTTTGGGGGAGTGTTGATTAATTTCAGATTGAAGAGGGCTTGAGAAATAAAGATCGAGTCAGGAATCATCACACCAGAGAAGAAAAATTCAATCCGCCTCATCTCATTTTGGGTGGTAGTCTGTGAATAAAGATTATGCCCTGAATTATTTCACTCTCAATTCTATGACAAATCTCTTGAGGAAACAAATCCAAGTCGACGTCATGAGCCAATGCTCATTTTCCACATAAGGTCATAAGGATATGTTTTAGCTTGCTCAAAAAGAGTATCTGGAATAGATTTAGATGAAGCCTAAACGTCATCTCGAATGATAGTTGCCTGCTCTAAAGAATCAGAATCACATGGGGGAGTGAATTTGAACGATTGGATCAGAAATAGATGTTGCCTTCAACTGAAGAAAGTCATATCGGGAGGAAGATTCAGACTCCATTAAAGCAGGATAGAGATGAGCAGTTGTCAACAACTGTGCCCCTGTTTCAAGAGACAAAGGCTTCCCTAATTTCCGAGAAGCACCAATAGAGGGACCAAAGGGAAAAAAGATGCCGAAGACCCAAAAGGGGTTAAAAGCGAGCTGATTTCATAATTAATCCTGGCTTAAGGATAGAGGAATCCACGAGGATTTCTACTGCGTCCTGTAACTCGCTCCTTAGAAGTCGACAAAGAGCGCCGTAGACAGAGAGCCGCCGCAGATGATCATAATTAGATTTTAATTATTACATCACGCAATTTAGAAGTATTTTTAAAGGAAAATTCACCTATTAACTGATCATGGACATAAAAATTACGAATTAAGGATTGTAAACCTATAATGGATAATTAGTACTTTCGATGGTTGCTAATTGTTTTAAAACGCGAGTGGCAAGAAAAGAAGATGATGCAGGTACTCTGATTTGACGGTACAACTTCTCAATGTCTGCAATCATAGCTTGAGGAAATTACCTTAAACGGACGATAATGGAGAATAGATCTTCTTGTATTGTGGGCCCTACCTTCAACGTATCGTTAATTGAGAATCCATTGTTACTCTTACAATTAGTAGAGCCGTCGAAACATACTCTAACTTCACAAGAAAGACTGTTTTCTTTTATGACTACATGATGTGGAAGGAAATAATTCTCCCTGAATTCAGGGTCTTCATTAAGAGTTGTGTGACCAAGGTCTAAATATTCCTTATAACGAAGTATTCGTTATAATAAATATTCTAAAGAATATTTATATATTTCGTGAATTCTTTTGGTATCAGCGTCGGATATGTCATACATTCGTATGTGTGTGTGATTGTGCGTGTCAGCGGTTTTCCTTAGTATAGGTGGTTCGTTGTCCAATGAAGGATTAGGAAGTTCCAGATATTTCCGGATTCTCACCGACCAAGGGCCAGCAGGAAGGAAGAGGGCGCGCAATAATCAATCGAGAGATCAATCCGAGCTGCCGTCTAAGGCGGATGTGTGCCGACAAAGGTGTTAGAAAGGACTATTAATACTAATACGTGTAGTGACAAAGTTGTTAATAAATAGTTGTTGTTAGTTAATAATCTGCGTTTATTTGTGTCTTCATTTCTTGGGTCAAGTCGCAGCCACATCGTCGTCCAGCGGATTATCTCAACAAGAGTGTGTTTCGTGAGTACAATACTAAAGGTAACAGGTAGTTCATATCAGGTCGTCGTCGTGTTTCTCGATCGTTTCAGCGGAATCTCCCCATGAGAGAGGCTCGTATGCCGGAGAGTAGTGTGTAGAGAAATCACAGTACGTAATTTAAACACGGGATTGTGGAATATTATTATTTTAACTAATATTTCTAATATCTAAATTAGCGTTACATCCTTCATAAACGAAGAATAAGATTATGTGTAAATAATCGCTCGACGTTTGACTCTATATTAGTATGTGCCTTAAACGGAATTCGCATGGCAGGATGAAGAACTATATTTACATGACATTCATACGAGTATAGAAGAATCAACGACATTTTATCTCTCGGAAACAACCCAAACTATTTTAGTATGTCCAAGAGTGGTATTGGTATTTTATAGGCAATAGTTGTTTTACTAAATGAATAACTAGTTTTCATACGAAATTAGTGAGAAATTTCTCTCCGTGTATTAACCGCTGTTTGTTTACTGCTCACTCCAGAACTAGTGAGTTCTTGAAAACGAGGTAATTTTCCAATCATTGTTTTTAATTTTTCTGAAAGCTTATAATACCGATTTTTAAAACTATCACGTTCATCATGATTCCTTTTTTCATTGGCTAGTTGTAATTCTTCTAAATGCGATGCAATTGTATCAAATTTCAACCAGCTCTCACTAAGTTTTTGTAAGCGACTTTCAGGATCTAAATCCATGATTAAGGTTTAACTATTTACTTTATTTAAGATATTTCCTAAATTTGTCAACATTCGCTTTATATTACCGCGCTTAGAAGTTAAAGACCGTATTTCAATATCAGGTTTTTTTGCCATTTTTAACCGTATGAGCAATAACAGCGACAAAAAAACTTCAGAATGCAATGATAAAAAAGAAAAAAACAAAGAAGATGTAGAAGGATTAGTGAAACAATTAACTAGCTTACTGTTCATATTCTCTGAATCTATTGCTGAGACACTATCGCACGTTGGTTGGTGATGAGCATATAATATAGTGCGACGTTGAACTTTATATCACATTGATTGGAGGATTTTTTGCAAGGACTCGTTGACAATCACTTGATTGCAATAAGAAACACTATGATTGCCTTAACTATAATTCTACTGTTTCTGCAGCAATTGAAGAACACTAATATTTTTAGTGGAGCCTCACGATCCCTGATTGCACTGATCACTACTAGCAAGAAGTCATGAATGCAACTTCTAGGAACACTAAAATATCATTGGATTAGTAGGATTGGCGAATCCCGATTCGCCACCTATTCCTCCCCATATACTTGCCTGGTGACGAAATTTCGTTCTGGACCGTTCCCCCACTTTGGGGCTTACTCCTCCGTCCGTAATGGTTAGAACTAAGTAATTTTAAAGGAGAGTTAAAGGTCATGTCCCAGATATTTCTTATTTTTTGTTTACAAGTAGTATTTTAGGTCTTAAATAAATAATTTTACCAAATATGAATTAGATATTTTTATCATTTGTCAAGATATTTGCATTCCAAATTTTTGACATTTTTTTCACTTGTTTGCAACTTCTTTATTTTTCAAAATTTTAAAAATATGTTAAGAAATTTTTAATGTCAAAAACATTGAAGTTTACACTGTAAAAACTGTCCGTCTTAAAAGTGCAAAAAACGTCTAGTTTTAAGACGTTTTTCCCGTCTAAGACACCAAATGTGTCTTAAAACAAGACGTTTTTTGCACTTTTAAGACGGATAGTTTTTGCAGTGTAATAAAACAAAATATAAATTTTTAAAATAACTTATTTATAAATTAATGTTTATTTTCAATTTTTTAAGTATGAACTATTTATTTTAAATATAAAAAAAATAAACTGTCATCCTTGTAAGGTATGTCTCTGAAATAATGAATTTTAAATATAATTTATTTTATTTAGATTCGACTGATATTTATCGGTTCCTGCCGAAATTCCGAAGACGAAACTCGAGTGAAGGACATGCAAGATTTATCAAAGCACTTAGCCCTTGAAGATAATGTCGAATTTAAATTAAATGTTCCTTATTCTGAATTGATTTTAGAATTACAAAAAGGAATGATTGGCCTTCATGCCATGTGGAATGAACATTTTGGAATCAGTGTCGTTGAATGCATGGCTGCTGGTCTTGTTATGATTGCTCACGCATCAGGTGGTCCAAAGTTGGTACATTTTTTTTAAAAAAGAAAAATTTATTTTAAATACATATAAAAAAATATTTTTTAACAATAATTATTAATGTTTTTAGGGCTGACATTATAGAAACACAAATAACAAGCCAGACCGGTTTTTTAGCTTCCCAACCGGAAGAGTATGCAAAAATTATATCAGATATTATAAATATGCATCAAATGGATAGAGACGCTATTAGACACGCAGCAAGGTAGTAGTTGTATTTTTCGAATAATATTTTAATTTTTATAAATAAATTATTTCTAAACAATTTTTTAGGGCCTCTGTCAATCGATTTTCTACCGAAAACTTTGAGAAAGATTTTCTACGAGCAGTGGAACCATTTTTTAGACAAAAACAAGAATAAAGTAATATAATATTTTTAAATTAAATCCTATATACAAATATTGTATAGATTATCAACATTTTAAGTAATTATTTCATATTAAGGTAATATAATTTTATTCTTTGAGAGTTAAAGACATTTTTTAATATTTTATTAATGTTTACCTGCATAATGTTTTTTATTCTTGTGAATATAACGTATACCAACGACTAAAAGCGGGCAATAATTTGTATATACATTTATGTGTGCGTGGGTGTACATTATTGGTCAATTTATATGTATATTTATCGGTGAATGTGGATAATTTCCATATTAGGCAGTAACTGTGAACAGTACCTATATTTACTTTATGGTTATGTGCACTGTGGATAAATATTTACTACATCGTTCTTATCAGTTACGATTTATTGAAAATTTTTAATAAATGATTTATGTAAAGAATTATACATATGCTATTTAATCACTAAAACCAAACTTATTTTTAGATATATTAATTGAAATTCTGTAGGTAATTTAATATTACACCGGCACACAACAAAAATTTCGGTTACGAAGACAGCCATATGGTAGGTCTTTTTCCTTATGATGTATCTAAAGATAAAACGTAGTCTGATTTCGAGTATTTTGTTTTTCTTTTACAGGTCTGATAGGGTGAAATTTCAGAAATGTATTTGTATTGAAATTATAATTATTATTTTATCTAAAACATAATTTTCGCTTATTTCGACGGTTGATTTTGATTCACTCTATTTACATAAAAATTGAATATACAGGAGGCAAAATTTCTGAAGTATAAAAATTCAAAAAAAAATTTTCTTAGATCGAGCTGCAATTTGTAGAACATTTAGTACTATGGATAAGTACTTTACCAGGCTTCATAGTGATATCTATTACACAGGTCTACAAGGTATTTTTTTGAAATATCAGAGTGGTTTCCAATGTATTTTTGTGTGCTGAACACGATCCTGTGTTCCAAAATTGTGTATCAGGTCAGGATTTTGAGTAAAGTGGGGGTAAAGTCTCCAAAAACCGTGTTTTTGAGGATTTTTAGTATTTTTTCCTTAACCTGACGTGATAGACACTTCTATATAGGCTTAAATTAAAGCTTATATCTTATACTTTAAGACTCATATGCGCAAGATAATAGTATATTTCGATACAAGGGGCCAAACGAGCGTTTTGCTCATTACAAGTGTAACGGCGTGGCAAGAACCTCAATGCGAGGCAAAGCCGAGCTTTGAGTTCGAGCCACGTCGTTACACGAGTAATGAGCAAAACGCTCGTTTGGCCCCTTGTATCGAACCATATTTTTCTTTATAAGTGCAGGCATAACCTCGTTTGACAGCTACTTGCAGCTATTCAAAATGGCCGACTCCCTCATTGTGCGCGCGGACGATGAGCAAAATGTTTTGCCCACCGCTTAACGGTGAGCAAAATACTTTGCTCATCGTCCGCGCGTACAGTGAGGGATTCGACTATTTTGGATAGCTGAAAGTGGTTGCCAAACGAGGTTTTTGCATGCACGTATAAAGAAAAAAAATTTTTAATTTCGAAAAAAAATTAGGTTCAAATCACCCAAAAAGATTATTTAGGTCATTACTTCCATTTTTTCAAAATTTTATTTTATAATGTGCATATGGGACTTAAAATGTACGTTTGAAACTTTAATTTAAGCCTATATAGAAGTCTCTATCATTTATGGTTAAGGAGAAAAAAAATCGGGCAAGTGCGAGTTACACTCGCATTAAAACCGAGGGTTCCGTACCCTTAAACCTAAAATTTAAGGGGTTAAAGTGTGAAGGCATGTGGAAAAATTTCAATTTTGCTTAATTTTTCCTGTAATGTGAGCATAAAAACACATAGATAGACACATAGTCACATATAACGAAAATTATCAGTTTTTCCTTAAAAACGCTATGATTATCAACTCCAATCATGCTCACTATATTTTTTTGTAATCTATATGTAAAAATACATAAAAATGTATAAGTTTGAAGCCCATTAGATAATATTTTCTTTGTTTTTTGAAGAAAATTCATGATTTTTATCAAAAATTATCAGTTTTTTCTAAAAAACTCTATGATAATCAACTCTAATCGTTCTCGCTATATTTTTTTTGTAATCTACATGTAAAAATACGTAAAAATGTATAAATTTGAATTCCTTAAGATAAAATTTTCTTCTTTTTTTATTCGAAAAATCCATGATTTTTTCTAAAAATATGAGTTTTCCTTAAAAACAATATGATCATCAACTCCAATCGTGCTCGCTATATTTTTCCTGTAATCTACACGCAAAAATACGTAAGTATACCAAATATGAACTGTCTTGGTCAAATAGTGTGTGCGCTAGGTGGATTAAACGCTTTTTTTCAAAATTTTTGATTTTTCCTTGACAACGCTATGTAAATTAATCCGAATCATGTTCGCTATATTTTTCCTGTAATTTTCACGTAAAAATACATAAGTGTACTAAATTTGAGCTCTCTATGTAAAAAGATGTGGCAACCAGAGGGGGGGTACATAGTCATTTTCAGGGATTTTTCGTAAAAATTCATGGTTTTTCCTTGACAACGCTATGATAATCAATTCCTATGAGATTCGCTATATTTTTCCTGTAATCTACACGCCAAAATACATATGTATACCAAATTTCAGCCCTCTAGATAAATTCGTGTGGCCACTAGGGGGGGGGGGTACATGCCTTGCTTCACTAGTCTCATTAATAGAGTTCCCCCTTCGGGTACGGAACCCTAAAAATACTGAAAACTCTCAAACATTTTTAGGTGTCTTTACCCCAATTTTTTTCAAAATTTTTTTTGTCTTGCGTATATGAGTCTTAAAATGTAAGATGTAAGCTTTAATTTAGGCCTATATAGAAATAATAAAATCGTCGGGTTTAGGAGAAAAAAATAAAGAAAACCCTCAAAAACACTGTTTTCGGAGACTTTACCCCCTCTTTACTCAAAATCCTGACGTCATACGCAATTTTGGAACCCGGGAGAGTGTTCAGCATACAAAAATACATTGGAAACCACTTCGACAACTAAAAGAAAGTCTTATTTATGTGTCTTACTATCAACATTATTTATTGGAAAATTTTTTTACTAATATGTAAAATTTTATTGTTTATTGAGAAAAAACATCTTCAAAATATTCTACATGTTTATAATTTAAAATTATATTTTTTAACTCATAAATTAATCATTTAGTCAGATAAATAAATAAATTACTGAATGATATTAATTTATAATATAAGAGCGTGTCACATAAACATTATTAAATTTTGCATCATTTGACAAATTATGACATGGGCAATTAAATCAAAAGAAATGAGAGAAATTACCTTAAGAGAGAACTTAAACTTAAGGTTTAATAATTCTAAACACATAATTTTATTTTTATTATTCATATACTTTATTTTAGAAATTCGTTTACTAAACCAACTCCATTACATTCTAAAATATAAGAATCATCACTTTTATTTCCACTTTTGAAATAATTGAAACGCAAGCCCTTATCTCCTAACATAATTTCTGCTATTTTCATTGCTGTTTCCGAGTGGCATGTTAATTTATTTTTGCCTATATTTATTCTTGAAGTTCCTTTCGCAAGAGCCATCAGGATAATTATCTATTTAAAAAACATCGGAGTTGAGAATTTATTTTAATAAACATTTATATTTTTATTTTATGTATAATGTAATTACACTAAAGCGTCGATTTACTACGCGTCAAAAAAAAAATTAGGATTTATAAATTTGTAATACTAATTTTGAAAAAGTCCAAAATTGTAATCTGAATCCTAAAACATACCTGATCTTGTGAATGTTCATCAACACAGGAGTTTGATAAAATTGGCATCAAAATTTGATTTGCAGCTTCTGTACCAGGACATTTTTGTTCTTTCTTTGATCCAAGTCCTGAACCACCAAATATACATCCAGTAGTTGTCGTGCAAACAATACTAAAAACGGTATAAAAATTAAAAATTTTTTTATTAGTTTTGGGACTTACGACACTTTGAAAAGCATCACTAAGTATTCACAAATCCCGTGTTAACGGAAATTTCATAAAAATATCAGTTATGCTGTTATGCCTTTCAGCCACAAATATTACGAAGAGATATTTTCTAATTGTAAGCTTCGACCGCCATATTGAATCCTTCATTCAGAATTTTAAGAATTTTATTACATATTTTAGTTCAGATATTGAAATAGAAACCCATACATGAGGCATTCTCTGAAAAAAGCAACCCACCAAAAAAAGTTTTAGAATTGACTTAATACTTTGGTAAATTGTTGTCCTATATATGAAAGTAACAAAATCTCAAAATATAAACTTATTTTTTAAAAAATTATGAAAAGTAGAGGGGATTAAAGTTTTGACTTTTTTGGTAATACTGTTATTTTAAAAGCCGTATAACTTCTACAAAACTTTATGGATTTTAATTTGTCAATAGGGTTTTTGTTGTGTTTTTCATGTAGTTTTCAATGACAAATAATTTTTTCCCTTTTTTATTCAAAATTAACTTTTATTTTTCATTTTTAACCACTTATACCCCTGAAAAAATTTTTTTTAAAGCTGAGATTTTTTCCAAAATAACTGTATAAATATAAAAATAGGATAACATTGAGTTTAAGAGAAAAAAATGTAAAACAAACCCTTTTTTTATCCTATTTTTCATATTTATATATGATATGTATGATATTTATATGATGTCATAAAGATTCTAAAAGGGAACCTATAAAGAAAATTAGAAAAATTCACAAATTTAAAATAGTTTAAACTTCTTTAATTTTACCTACTTTATTCCAGATCCATGTCCAACTGCCACGTCTCTATCCTCTTTGTACACTAAAATATCAGTAGGTGGAACTGTGATATCATGTTTGGATAATCCTTGTGTCATAACTACTTTAGCATTGTTAGCCATTTTATGAGCTTCCTACAAAATTATTCAAAATATACCTCTACATATTTATTTTTTAGTAACATTTTAATTTTTACAAAGGTATTTAAAATATATTCAATATTCATAAACATACGTTTAGGGGAACAGCTCCTGCAACATAGGCCCAACCAGTGATCTGCGTTGGCAAGCCTGGATCCGTTAACGTAATGGCATTTAAATTTTTTACAGGTTTTACTTTTAAATGAAACTCTCCACCTCCTGCTGGATAATATCCTCTAAAAAGATAATAAGATCTGATCAGAACAATTCTGTTAAATAAAAATTATTTTTAATGACAATTTTTCTACTGTGGGAAATATTCATGTTCCATGAATGCTTATCAAAGTCACTATAACTAGTTACTCAATTTTTTAGGCTACGCACTGAAGATGTCAACTTTTCAGAAAATATTTATGAACTCATTATGTGAAAGTCACGTAAAAAATTAATAAATCATTCTTCAGGTTTTTCTTGTACAGATCTGAACTTTTTTCTAAACATATTTTCTTTTTATACAAATTTTTACATAACATATATTTTTAGCTATCGAATTTTTATTTGTCAGAATTTTTGTTTCACAATCATTTTCTTTATATGACTTTTTATATAAATGAATTTTAATTTAAGCAAATTTTAATGTAACAGAATTCTCATTCAATCGAATTTTTAAATGACAGAAATTTTAATTCACCGAACTTTAATTTGTCCGAATTTTTAAGACGTCGAGTTTTCATTTGTCGGAATTTATAAATAGCCGAACAAATAATTGACAGAATGATTATGGCGCAATTTTTAAAATTTATCAATGAAAATTCGGCGTCTTAAAAATTCTATTAATTAAAAATACGTACAAATTAAAATTCGGTGAATTAGAATTTCTGTCATTTAAAATTTATATAATAAAGAAAATGATTGTGAAACAAAAACTCTACCAAACAAAAATTCGATACCTAAAAATGTTATGTAAAAATTCGTATAAAAATTCGTATATGTCAAGTTTTAATTCGAAAACTGTAAAATCATCTAAAAAATAATTATTTATAATAAAATACTTTAAAATAGAAATTTTCATGGAAAATTCATGCGCCCCCATTATTTTGGTCAAAGTTTCAAAAACTCCTCGACTTGTAAAATGCGTTATACAGTAAGAAAAGTGTAAAATAAATAAATAGTTTATATAGTCGAAATTAAAGTTTTGATACCTTATTTATTAATTAATAATCAACATTATTTACCTTTTTATAACGGAGAAATCGAAATCAGCTCCAAATTTGTTAAGAATGGGTTTAAAAACTTCTGTTAGATATTCAATATGAGGTCCCATGGGGACATTTGTCCCACCTTTGAATATTAAATTTATTTGGCTGGAAGGAGCAAAAAGAGCACAAGGAAGTGCCACTTGAGCCAATAAACCAATACAACCTGCTGTTTTCGTATCTGCAATGTATTCTTGTACTTTTCCCTGTAAAGGACCTGGCCGAAATTCTAAGCGTGTTGAACCAATATAAGCTCCAGTAACATTAGCGTTGCACAATTCCTTTACAAGTTCAACTCCTAAATTTGTTTTATTTAATAAATTAATTTATCAATCCTATAAATTTTATAATGGCTTTTCGTTGTCATTCAATTGTCTTCATTTAAAGCAAAATTAGAGAATTAACCCTTTCAATATTGGGGCAATACACGTGGAATTTTCAATTGAAATTTTCTTTTTACTGAACAAATTCTCATTAATACTTATTAAATTCTTATTAAACAAAATTTTATTTGAGTCGAATTTTTAAATGTCAAAATTTTCATTAAACAAAATCTTTATTTGTCAGAATTTATATAAACACGAAATGTTATTTAATAGAAATTTTAAAACTTAGAATTATCATTCAGAAACTTTCAAAAAAATTGTGATTGGTCAATTTTAAAATTGGCACCGACATATATCTGTCGTTTTATTGTTCGACCATTTGCAATATGATAATTCTGAGTTTTAAAATTTCTTTTAAAAATGACATTTCGTGTTAATATAAATTCGGACAAATCAAGATTTGGTTTAATGAAAATTCTTGCATTTAAAAATTCGACTCAAATAAAATTTTGTTTAATAAGAATTCTGCTAAAAAAATTTGTGTTAAAAAGAATTCTTTTGAATAAAAAGTGTGCTGAATAGAAATTATGTTGAAAGAATATTCTGTTAAATAAAAATTTGATTTCATAGAAATTATGTTAAGTATAAATTCTGGTTAATTTAAATTCGATTAAACATTAATTCGAAAAACATAAATCTGAATAAAGTAATATTCTATCTAATTAACATGGAATAATCTTGCGCTCCGTTTTGAGAAATCATTTTTTAAACTATTTAAAAATTAAATTTAAAAACATCAAAACTTGCATAATTTTTAACAAATCAAAATATAAAAAATGAGTATTTTATTCATATTTTTCATAAAGATTTTGAAAAAAATTCTCCATTCAAAGGAGAAAATTTTGATGAAAATCTCACATGAAATGCTCCATTAACATATTCCGAGTATTATAAAAAGTGTTGGTAATTGATGTATTTCTTTACAGACTGATGATAACGTAGTAATAAATGACATGAGTTTTATTTATATTATGAAAATATAATTATACAAATATAAATGAAATACCTTTCAAATGCTGAGCAGCTAGACCAGGTTTTGGACGACCTGCACGAATACCATCAATTTCTATTGGAATTGAATAAAGTGCACTCAAACTAAGAGCTATTCTTAATACTTGTCCTCCCTAAATTAGGAAAAAAAATATGTCTTGTTAATAAGTAAGGAACTTTTTTAAAAATTTATCCAATTTGCCTGAAAATTGTTACTCGGGTATTTTTGGAGTCCCTGATTACGAATCCGATGTCAGTTATTCAATGTTCAAAATGACGGATCCAATATGAAGGACGAATTTTTAAAAATTACTAAGATCCTTATGAAACTAAGTATCGAGGGGTTTTTCGAGTCGCTGAGTACGAATCTGACATCAGTTCTTCAAAATTAAAAATGGCGGATGAATTTTTAAAAAAATTGTTGGATTCTTACAGAAACTAGGTAGGCAATAATAGGCTTATTTGGTAGGCTTATTTATCACATTAATCTCTCAAAAATGACGAGAGGATTTTTAAAAATACCTCCCAAAAAAAATTTTATCGTCTTTTTTCCAAAATTTTTTTTAATTAAAAAAATTTATAAATAGAAAAATTTAAGGTAATATATAATATAATCGTCTTCCTTACGTCAAGACGAATCGATTGATATATATAAAGTATACATTTGAGGTAAATTTAAAGAATTAATGAAAATTAAAAAATCAAAAATTTATATTTTAGCTAAAAAATTTTGTTTTTATTTAAATTCAAGTTTATACATAAAATAATCGTATTCCTTGCATTGAAACGAATCGATTGCTAATATATATATAAATTATATATGTTTTACCCAAAATTAATTAAAATTTTCTTAATTTTTAATTTCTCAAAAAATTTAATTAATTTGAAACATTTTTCAACTTGAAATGTTTTAAATCAATCAAATGAAGTAGAGAAATTCATTGCTTCCTCCGCGAGGAAGCAAATTTTTTGCTTCACACAATGAGGAAGCAAAATGTAAAGCAAAACGTAAAGGACCCCCTACTATTTTTTTATAAAGTAGAATAAATTTGTGGGACGTGAACGTTTAGAAATAAATAATATTTTAATTTGTACCGCCCCTTTAATTTTTGTCAAAGTTATGAATTTTTGAAGTCAAAAGTGGTTTCGATTTTTATAAGATTCTTTGGAAAAATGTTTTTCATACATATATTTAATTTAAAATTACCCGCTATGAAAATAGGTTTGCATGACCGTGATGCATTTACATCTTCAGTAAAAAAGTTTACCAAACATTCCGGGGATATGAAAACACCTTTATATTGAGGCTTGAGAGATCCTTTGTTTATAACATGCTTCGATGTAAAATTCACCGGAATTTTTAAAAGTATATACAACTGCGATAGAAAAAATTTCACTTAACAGAAATTAGCTCCGTGAAGTTGGCACTGCCAATATAAGGAAAATAGATTTTGTTGTATGGAATCGTTTGGTGGTCGTTTGGTGGTGTTTGGTATCCAAGTTTGGAGGTTTGGTAGTCAAAATTAAGAAAGTTACAACGATTATAAATTTTCAGTGCTAACTTCACGGCTGCACTGCACATTTATATATTTTTCGAAAATTCCTTTTGACATCGTTTGGTGGTCGTTTGGTGGTGTTTGGTAGTCAACTTTTGAGGTTTGGTAGTTGAAATTATAAGAGATAATCAATTTCTAAACATTTTTTCTTGGATGCGCATAAGGGTGCGCATAGCCGTATGGCGCAAAGATTCAAATTTTAATTTACTACTTTTACATTTTTTCCTACAATTTAACTTTTAAAATTATTTAGTGGACAGTATTTTACAAGATTTTTTGCAAATTTTATGTAGATATGATAAGAGATTGTGAAATTAAGAAAATAATGAAACATTAAATTAAATAGATACTCTCGCTGGCTAGCATCGAGCTGTGGGAGTACCTTAACATAAGCCCACTCGGTTATCTGGCGCATAAATTCAAATCAGTATGTTTTACTTTTGAATTCTTTTCTTATAATTTCATTTGTAAATTTATAAATAAGTATTTTAGAATATTTTCTGCAAATACAAATACATTTGATAATACTCAATAAAAAAACTACACGCCTCCACTGTACATTTATTTCTTCTTCAAAACTCTTCTTTTAGCATCGTGATTGATGAGCGTTTGGTGGTGTTAATTAGTAGTCAACTTCTAAGTTTTAGTTTCGTTAAATTTATAAAAAATATAAACAATTGCTAAGTCTTTTTTTAAAGAGAGTAAAAGTAAATGAACCGAAATTTAAATATAGCATTATACAGGGTATCCAGCAGTCAGGTTAATGAAGGAAAATTCACAGAATTTTTTTAATATTGTCTAAAGATAAAAATTTATGCATTTTTTTACACATTCCATTTAATTAAAACTTCAATTAATCCAAATTGCAATAAAATAAAATTCAATTATTCCTAATTTTAAGTAAAAAAAAAATTTAGGATTGGTGTACACTTTTTCTAAAACATTTTCTAGTTTTCTTTCTAGTAAATTTGAATTTCAAGTTAGGACAAATATTATTAATTGCTTTTTCATACAAATTAAACTCTGCCAAAATAATTGCATCACAAGAAATTATTATTATTAATTAAAAACATAACATAAATTTTTAGCATAATACTAATTTTCAAAAAAATTTCTGTTAAACAAATTTATTTTACATATTTTTAAAAAACATATTTTTTAAAAAAATTTTTATAAAAATAATACATTTTAACAACCAAATCTTATTAGAAAAAAGGATTAGGAAATATTTTTTTAGAAAAAGTGACCACCTACTAAAATTGAATTATTATGAACATATTAATCTATTAAAAATTCAATAATTCTAGAATTTTAATCAATGAAAAAATCAATTATTATTATAAATTTCAATCAATTAAAAATTTCAAAAATTCGTTTTAAATCATTTTGGAAATTTTATTTATGAGTTAAACTTATTTTCAAAATTTTGTTGATTTCAAAAATTGAGAAATTAAAAATTTTTTAAATTATTTTAAGTATTTATAACTGAATTATTTTTCACGAATTGAGCTTAAATGAGTTTTTTAAAAATATATAAACTCGTAAGTTTTGATGATTTTAACTTCAAAATTTTACTGAAAACCTGAATTAAAATAATTCTTTAATTAAAACTTCAAAGAATGTTAAGAAATAGAAACTTCACACTTTTTTAAACATAAAAATATTGATAATTTTTCAGACTATTATTTTTTAAATTTATTCATTAATAGTATTGTACAAAACGTTAATTAAATTCTATGTATATGCATTTAAACTATAAATAATAAAAATAACACAAAAATACTTTTTTGAGTGTTTGATAGTCACATTTTTCATAAATTGCTATTAAACACTCTGTTTATTCATCTCATAATAGGTATATAAACATGATTGTTTGAGCATAAACTTTTCTATAAAATAAATTTTTCAAATATTAAAAATGACAGATATTAATTTTTAATGCTTACATAACTCTTAACATTTAAGTACATAAAAATAATATATATGTACATTTTGGTATTATATTTACAAGTTGTAATAATGAGGCATACATTCTTTTTACTTGCAAATGTATATGGCACATATAAATTTGAGATATAGAAATATAACTTACATCTTTTACAATATACAGTTTTTGTTTTCTTTAAAAGTAGAAAAAACAATTAAAACGACACTTTGATTGTTAAAATACTGATAATTACTCGGCACAGTTTGGTATCAACTTTTACTAAAAACTATAATAAAAAAAATAACTATTTTTTAATTTTCACTATTGCTAATATATGCTTAGCTTAGTTTGATGCACACTAGTAATACTAATAAGTCGTAAATTTTTTTTACTATTTCAGATGAGTGAAATTTCTAAATATATATAGGTACATAAATTTCAGATATCAATGTATAACTTACAACTTTTACAATATAATTTTTGTTTTACTTAAAAGTAGAAAAATCAATTAATACTATACATTTTGAATTATTGTTAAAATACTGATAATTTGCTCGGCACAGTTTGCTATCAACTTTCACTAAGAACTATAATAATAAGAACAACAATTAAAAGTATCTTTTTAATTGGCAATACTGCTAATATGCTCAGCACAGTTAATTCATTAACTGTTACTCAATTCTATAATATTATTAAAGTCTTTAAAGATTTTAAGATTAGAGCTTCTAAACGAAATAGGAAGTTAGTTTTAATCAAAATAAATCAATTCTTTTCTAACAGTTGTTTCCTTTTAACTTTCTAAATCTCAGAACAATGTTTATTGCTCATTTATTCGGATATAAATAATCCCTCCTGGTTGAATTTGTTTATCGTTTGATGAAGTCACTTTTGAACCGAGATCATCATATATTTCCCATTTTTTCATTTTCGTCGTGCAGAGAGCTGTATAATGATCCGTTCCATTAAAAAGAATAATGCCAGTCAGCCTATAAGTAAACGTATATAATATTAATTAATGTGATTTTAAAGATAATATAACTATTAAATAATGATGTAAAAGTTTAAATAATGGTTGCTTTTCTAAAAATGAGTAAATTACTTTAATACTAACCGAAACTTTGAACCATATAAAGTAATATATCGAGGAAGCTCAGAAGCTTTGCAAGTTTGTGGTGTTGCTTTTCCATCTAGCTTCCTTACGTCACCATCTATGAAAATGTGTGCATTTAGATTCAGAGATTTGAAGGGCTTTTGTCCACATTTACAGTTTTCAAGAGGAACGTTTCCCCATGTGTCAGTCAGGGCCTCTTGAAGAGCTTTAAATCCATTTTTTGCGATTATTTTTGGATTTAAATAAAAATAAGGCACTTCCTCCATTTCAGAATTTCCACACTTGCAATTTATCATTCGATACGCACTCGGTTCATCTTTCATAATGAACTCCCACATGTCTGCTACATTTGAAAACACATTGATACTTTTCAACATTTTTGGAGATTCGATTTCTGTATCACTTTTGTTGTTGCGTTTTTCAAAATCTACCAATATTAAGCATCTTGCATTGTATACATTAATAGCCTTAGAAATATCTGCTCCAGATTTAAGAAGCATGTGAACAAATTGGCAACTGCTATTATTTGAATTTTCAGTA